GCTCCTAAAAATCCTCAGAGGTCCTTGCCAGCCACAGCCACAATCCACGGCCTGGCATAGCTCCCGAAGCTGCCATGGGTCCCTTGTGGGGCAGCCGCTACCCATTGCAGCTGCCTGCCCCCACTGCTGGGCTTCAAAATGCCCCTGGAGCTCCTTTCTGGCCACAGCCTCAATTCGCAGCCTGGTGTAGCTCCCCAAGCCACCACAGGTCCCTTGTGGGGAGGCCGCTACCCGCTGTGGCTGCCTGCTCCCACCACCGGGCTTCAAAATGCCTTGGAGCTCCTTGACAGCCAGCCAGGGCCGATAGGTCTTGGTCTAAAGTAACCCACCTCCCTCCCTCCCCCAGCCTCAAGCAAGCACCTACTTGTTCAGACTCCTTCTCCTGATTCCTGAATGGCTGCTGCTGACCTGCCTCCTGCCTTGCTTGTACTGCTTGTCTCTGCATCCAGCTCATTGGTAAGCAACTGATTCTGCCTGCCTGCTTTCTTCAATTGGGTAAGTGGCTTTTTTTTTCATGATTTAAACCAAGGGTGTCCAAACTTGGCAAGTTTAAGACTTATGGACTTCAACTCCCAGAATTCCTAAGCTAACATGATTGGAGTAGGAATTCTGGGAATTGAAGTCTACAAGTCTTAAAGCTGTCAAGTTTGAAGTCCCCTGATTTAAAAAAAACAGTGTGTTAATTTTTTTTTTAAGGAAATAGTCATATAAATTTAGCTGCTTTTCTATTTTTAGAAAGCAGCTGCTTTGTGAGATTGTCATTGTGTGTATATGGAAGTTCTTTTAAATTGTGTGCAATGTTATCTGCCTATAAATTAAAGCTATATTGTTAGATTTTTTTCAGATGTATCTGCTTTTTGAGTGTGTGTGTGTAGTTTTCAGTTGTGTAGGGAGTTTTGTGGGTCTGCTTCCAATCCAGTCATGTTTCAGTGTGACTTTTCAGTTGTGTAGTTGTGATAACATGTCCTAGCATTTTTTGATGTTGATGCTTGCAGCATGCAGGAGACATTTTACATGAAGTCCAGCTGCTTTTATGAGACAAGCAACTTTAGTTTCTGAGATAATTAGTAACAGAGATCCCTTCTGTTACCTTAGTCCTCAGCTTTCAGCCACAATCGAGTCCAATCAAAGCACAGTATTGTTTTATGTCTTTTGCAGTAGGATGAAAAGACAACAGAGTTTGACTGCTTTCTTTGCCAAGAAACCAAGAATGGAACAATCAGAATTAGACACAACAAATCCACAACCGTCAGGGTCACAAACAGCACTGCCACCAATTGAACGTGGAGAAAACAGCAAGTCAATTTCCGAAACTGAAAGCCTTCCTGATCTTCCAAATTGCTGGACATTGCAGCAATATAGAAGTTATCAAGAGACGTATGAGGGGCTGGTAGTTTCAAAGAAAAAAATAGGTTGTAAGTACTGTGCAAACAAAACATGACTTTGCAGTACAGAAAGGTGTTCATGTGTCCAAGGAGTGGAAACATTTCAAGATTGAGGTGGCAGGGACAATTAAAGAAGTTCAGCAAGCTTCTCTTAGGAAAAAAATGAAAGAACACTTTACATCTAAAGCTGATGCCATTTGTAGTGATAACTTAAAACAAGGGGAGCAGGATGCTATAATGAAATCAGTAGATAAGATGTCTGACAAATATTTATCTACTACTTGTAGATTATTTTTGACAGTTTACAGTCTGGCACAAAGATGTAAATCATTTTCAGACATAGAAGGACAGGTAGAATCGCAAACTGTAATGGGTGTAGATCTTGGAGTAGGATTGCATTCACGGTGAACTGCAGTGAAAATAGTTGATTTCATTGCAAAAGAAATTAAACCAAAATGTTTACTAGCATTATTGAACAGAACCTGAAAATATGTTTAATTATTGATGAAGCCTCAGTGCTATCATGCAAATCAATTGTGATAGTTTTCGTAAAAGTTGAGGATTCAGATAATCCACCAACAATTTTTGTTTAGCTTGTTGAATTGGAAAAACAAGATGCATAGATAATATGTTCTTCAGTTTTGGAAAGTTTACATAATGTTGGATTTACTACAGACTATCTGCAAAAAAATTAATAGCATTTTGCTCTGATGGTGCCAGTATTATGCTTGGAAGAAAATCTGGAGTGAGCAATTTGCAAAACATCATAACATCATAATATGGCACTGCTTAAACCATCACCTGCAACTTGTTTTAGGTGTCTCCATAAAGGACATTAAGCAACTGAATCATTTCAAAATATTTCTTGACAAGATACACAGTATTTTCCATAAATCCTGTATGAGCCAAAATGAACTGTTTGAAATATCTAAACAACTTGGAATTGAAACTGTAAAGATTGGTAGAGTTTTGGGACCAAGATGGGCGGCCTGTAGTTTAAGGTCAATCCTAGCTGTATAGCATGCTTATCCAGTGCTATATCAGTACTTTCATGCAAATGAAAAATACTCTGGTATGGCTGCCCATCTTGAAAATATATATTTTAAAAATGATTTGGCATTGATGATTGATATTCTCAATGAAATATCTCTTCTGTCAAATGCACTGCAAGGAAGAAATACTGGCATCATAAAGGCTGAAAAACTTGTGCGGAGATCAATTAAACCATTTGAAATGCTCAGACAGTGAAAGGGTCCCTATGAAAAAAAAAGGTTGATGGATTAATTACTTCAGAAACCTTCAAAAATATAAAATTTGTACAAAATCATCGATTTGTTGGACTTCCTTGGGAAAGACTTTTGGAAAGCATCATAATAAACTTGAAGAAAAGACTAATGGATTGTCAACATTTAGAAACAGATAGCCAATTACAAGACACCACAGATAAATTATGATTTCTCCATTTTTTGGAGACAGATTACTGGAACATTGAAGAAATTGTAGTTCCATGGCCAGAAGCTGAAGAGCAATTGCTTACCTTTAATGAAATCTTTAATTATAAAATTAATATCAACAATTATAGAGATTTCATGGAAAATGTTTTAAAAGATTCAAAGAACTATGCAATTCCTGACAATATTAAAAAAGCTAAATATATTGTCAGAACAATTGCTGTAAGTTCAGCAGAAGCAGAAAAGGGTTTCTCAAAAATGAACCTCGTATGTTCAGAACAGAGAAGTCGCCTAACTATTCTGACATAACCAACCTGATGACCATTATTGTGATTAGCCTACCTCTAAAAGAATGGAACCCTCTTCCTACTGTCACAAAATGGTTACGAGCACATCATCACACACCCAATGATCCGAAGGTGAAAACTAAGAAAAGTGCAAGCGAGGAGGGCACTAAACACTTTTATGTAAGTATTTGTGTGTACCTCCTTTACTGTTTGTGTGTACTGGTTTTATTCTTATTTAAGTAGTAAGTGCACAAAATTAAACACTTAACAAAATATCTTCTTTCTGCAGATCATTCATTGGGGCAAAGAAGTTGGTGACATAGAAGACACACAGCACTTTTATTATTCTTATGTAAGTGTACCTCCTTCATTGTTTGTGTGTACCTGTTTTATTCTTATTTAAGTAGTAAGTGCACAAAATAATAAACTACCTTTTTTATATCTTCTTTTTGTAGGTCATTCATTAGGGCAGGGGTTCCCAAACTTGGCAACTTTAAGACTTGTGGACTCTGGGAGTTGTAGTCCACAAGTCTTAAAGTTGCCAAGTTTGGGGACCTCTGCATTAGGGCAAAAGAAGTTGGTGACATAAAAGACACACCATACTTTTATCCTTCTTATGTAAGTACTTGTGTGTATCTCCTTCATTGTTTTGTGTATTTGTTTTATTCTTTTTTAAGTAGTAAGCACACAAAATTAAAAACTTAACAAAATATCTTCTTTCTGCAGGTCATTCATTAAGGCAAAAAAGTCAGTGACATAAGAAGACACGCAGCACTTTTATCATTCTTATGTAAGTACTTGTGTGTACCTCCTTCATTGTTTGTGTACTTGTTTTATTCTTATTTAAGTAGTAAGTGCATGAAATAATAAACTACCTTTTTGTATATCTTCTTTTTGTAGGTCATTAGGGCAAAGAAGTCAGTGACGTCGACTTGGCCATGCCCAGCCAGTCACATGACTGCCAAGCACGCCACCAAATAAGCCACACACACCCAATCACATGGCCCCTAAGCCACATCCACAAAATAAGCCACATCCACTGAACTGGTAGTAAAAAAAATTAAATCCCACCACTGATCTATATATTATGTAAAAGAGTCTATCAACAAGGGAACAAAAAGACCAAAATTAGCAACCAGCAATCAGACGAGCATAGATTAACATCAGACTAGCAATCAAGTAAACAATATCCCAGTCAAGGAACTGCTAAACAAGCCAACAATAAACAGCCCAACCAAAAAATCTCTAAGACCACCCAAAGGTAAGTCACTAGAATATAAACTGAGAGCAAACTCCACCCCTTACTACTACTGATGATCTTACCTAGTTTGGGTAATGAAATGTCTGCAAGAAAACAACCAATTTCAGAGAACACCAAGTACCCTTCATTTCAACCCTGAGTTACAAATATTCCCCAAAGCTTCTTGGATGAGAAACAAAACGTCTTCAAAGAAAAACCAGAAAGTCCAGTTGTCACTTGAAAAAAAGCACCTTTGGGACAACCATGACCTGGATGACTGAGAATCTCCATAGACATTTCCCTTTATTATTACAGACAACCCACTTATGAACCGACTAACTCCAGTACATACTGATAGTTAAAACTATAGAGTTTTACTTACAGTATTGGTGGGCTTATTTTATGGTACAATAATAGTATATTAGGATGGGCTTATTTATATTTTTGGGTTAACAAAGAAATAAACATTGTGCCCCTCTCCAAAACTCAAGAAGTAAGAATGTGGGTTGTACCCCATTTTTTGTTAACAATAATGTTTCTGTTAACATAAATAACATATGTTTCCCTTTATTATATTATAAATATTTCATATATTTCTACTTAGCTAATATTTCAAGATGGTTAGAAGCTAACTTACCTCCAGCGCAAGTAGCAGAGCACTCTGACCAAGGGAGGTGATTCCATGTGAAGCCAACTTCATTGTCACCACTGCCAGTACGAGAGATGGGAACATTGAATTTATACCTTATCCCCAGATTTTGCTCCTGTAGTAAAATCTGCAGTTGAAAATAACTGGTTTTATCATTAAAACACTTTGGTATATTAATACTGTATATTAACAATTAGTTACTTTCAGTTTGACTTTTGAGAAAAACTCAAACGCATTCAGCCTGGGGCCGTGTGTTTGACACCCCTGCTTTTTGCTTGCCTGGGCTGCATTGAGTGAAGAAAACTTATATTGGGCTGCATATAAAATATAACACATGATATTACTTATAAAAAAATCATAATAATTTTTAAAGTTTATAATCTTGTGGGGCGACATTATTAGCTGTCCAGGACTGTATGTGACCCACAGGCTATGGGTTGGATATGACTGCCTTAAAGAGTGGCAGAAAAAGAAACAACTAGTATATACATACAGTATGTTTATTGCATAGTACCTAAACTTGACAATAGAATAGAACAGAACAGAACAGAAGAGAACAGAACAGAACAGAACAGAACAGAACAGAACAGAACAGAACAGAATAGAATAGAATAGAATAGAATAGAATAGAATAGAATAGAACAGACAGAGTTGGACGGAACCTTGAAGGTCTCCTAGTCCAACTGCTCAGCAGGAAACCCTATACCATTTCAGATAAATGGTTGCCCAATCTCTTCTTAAAAACTTCCAGTGTTGGAGCATTCACAAGTTCTGGAGGCAAATTGTTCCACTTATTAATTGTTCTGTCAGGAATTTTTCTAGTTCCAGTTCTAGGCTGGAACATAATAATGTTCCAGCAATGTCTTGAATAACATATACCATATAAAAATATTTGTATTTTCTACTTATGTTACCATAGAATTATACTAGGTTTTAAAAGATAATCAAATCCTAATTGATAAAGTATATAGTAGCCCTTGTTTAACAATGGTAACTGGAGCCAGAATTTATGTTGCTAAGCAATGCAGTCTTTGAGCACAACATCATGTGACTACATTGCTTAGCAACAGCAATCCTGGAAACCTTCATTGCTATTGTTAAGCTAAGATTGGGAGTCATTGGGAGTTCAGGTGGCTTGCAAGCAGGCCAGCAGGCAGGTAAGGCTTGGCAAGTCCAGGAGTGGATTTTGCTGGGTGAGGGATGGTGTGCAAGTGGCCAGCATGATGTGGCGAGGCCTGAAGTGACTGTTGCTCGACACAGGAGAATGTGCAAGTGGCCTGCGAGGTGCACAGGCAGGACACTAGGCTGGATTGCTGCTGAGACAAGTGACTTACCAAAGTGATTTGAAACTTTCTCTGATGGCTTTCCCCTTGACTTTGTGGGAAATGTGGAAAAGGTGTTACATGACTACGGGATGTTGGAATGGTTGTGAGAACCAGTTGCCATGTGTCCAGATTGCAATCATGTGACTATGAGGGATGCTGTGATGACAGAACTTTTAGGATCAGTTGTAATTTTCCTTTTTTATCACTGTCATAATTTTGAGCAATGGTTGAAAAAATTGTCAGTATGCAAAGACTACTGTGTTCAATATTTCTTTTATTTATATTGAAAACAAAACTAGATTATATTTCTAATACTCTGGGATTTTTCAATTTTAATTTAAGTGATATGATTCTTATCTTCCTGAAAATGAGATGGTATTCATTTCTGTCAGCTCTGTAGCAAAAGAAAGTGATATATTATGTTATTCCCCAATTATATCCAAATTGCTTAACAGATTAGCAGAGACTAACTGGAGACTATTGATAGGAGTGAGTGACAATACGGTTAATTTCAAAACAATATTAACACTTAATATAAATTTGACAATACCAGATAAAAATGATTATATTTATATTTTAGAAACCTCAGTTGGCTTAGAATTAGATGGATACATTTCAAAACAGCATAAGTCTATTATCTAGGAAACACTATTCAAAAGCTAGAGATAATGCAATGATTATAATACAAACAATATTTTCTGAATGAGGTTCTAAGTGGAAAAGACTCTCATGAGCAACACAGAAGGCTAGATTACCTCTTCGATACACAAACAATAACATGAAATAGTTTATACTTTACCATGACTATAAGGTTTTCTGAAGTAGGGCCCAAAGCTTCCAAAGATTCTGCTTCATCAGCTGGTCTTTTGTAATGGAAAGCTGTTCCAGCAACATCAAATTTTCTAGGCCAATCAATAGTCCAGGCTCCATTAATATAATAATCATCATCCTCAGTTTTCAAAGCTTAAAAGAGTATAAATGGCATGAAGATAGAAATAATGTATAAGAACATTCATTAAATATCAAAGTAATATGAAGGAAAATGGAATTATATCATAGAAACCATAACTTAAGAAGTTGCTTGCTTGTTGTGACCTTGTTGGAAAATGAAATGTACTTTATTAAAGTTCTTTTTTTAAAAAGGAAATCCTCTACAATGGAAACCAATGGCTTCACTTAAGGGGTCTGATGGAGGAACCAAGAGTGGTATACAAACCATCCTAAATTTAAATTGTTTACAATTCAAAATAACTGCATTTGAAGGAGTTGCATTTTGCTTTAAGCAGAATGTTTTGATCATTCTGGAAGTGTTTCAAGGTTAATACTAAATTTTCTGCTATTTATTGTAATATTTTAAAAATTGAATCAAATTTGTAAATTAATCAGTATTGTAATTTTGACTACTAAATATCTTAAGAAAATATGCTATAATCAGCTAACTAGTTCTAGTTTTTATAATGCAGAATACTCAAATCATATGGATGAGGAAGAGATGACTGCCTACTCCACATTTCAATGCTTTTTTAATGAACAATTGCCTTCTGACACTGCAAAAGGATTTGACCAATAAATGATTCAAAATATAGATTTTTTAATCCTTATATTTAACATAAACAGTAGAACCTCTTGTCACGACCATAATTTATTCCATAACTTTGGTGATTTCTTCATCTTCTAATGTTTCATCTTCAGGAATTTCTGGGTCAGGGGTCATGTTTGATCACCACCTGAGTATGTGTTCCTGACCAGATTCAAACATTTTGTGAATATTTTGGTTGGAACCGATTTGGTCATGGTCAGAAGTGTTCATGATTAGAGGTTCTGCTATATGCTAAAATAATTAGTTCAACAGGAAAATAAAATTATAAAATTAGTTTACAATCAGCAATGTCAATAGAATCAGACCATCAATTAGAGAAATATATGTGTGGCCAGTGGGTACATCTGAGCAACTTCAAGATTGCTTTAGGAGCATTGAATGGGCACTGTTTGAGGAGGACAATATTGATACTTACACCTCAACAGTACTGTTTTATATCAAAAGCTGCATTGATGTTGTCACTACCACCAGACAAGTACAGGTGATTTCTAACAACAAGCCCTGGATAAATAGAGAAGTGTATCTTTTATTAAGAGCTAGAAATGCTGCTTTCCATTCTGGTGATGCGCTACAGTACAGCGAGGCAAGAGCTAAATTAAAAAAGGGCATCAGGAACACTAAAGCTACATACAGACAGAGGACTGAACATCATTTTGAGACTTAGGACTCTCGTTGAGTATGGCAAGGTCTGTGACAAATTATGGGGCAGAGAAACAAAAATAGTTTGTCTAGGACTTCCGGTTGTCTTCCTGTCACGTCAGAGTGAAATCCGCGATCACGCGAGGTTTCTTTCTGTGCTCCCTTGTTGAACCAGAACCACCCTGGAGGGGTGGTGAAGAAAGGAGGATCCATTGGAGGGTTGAGGGGAGCCACATCTCCCCTCGTCAACAAGAAAAAAAAACCTCTGAATACGAGCTGCAGCGGTGACTAAAAATGGCCACCATGAAGACAGGAGGCAGTCCGGGAAAATAAGATTGTGCTGGAGCGGAGAAGTCATGAGCGAAGTGTGAACCAGGTGCAATTTATGGACATTAAGGTACCCCGGAGTTAAGAAATAAATTGTTAAAAAAGACTGCAAAAGTAGCGACCAGAGAGAGAGAGAAGGAAATTGGAAATAGGTGAAAGTGGCTTAGCACTTTGAAAAGAACTAAATTGAAAGAGGAAGTTAGAAGAAAAAATATTAACTATAAAAGACTTGCAATTAAACTGGCTAAATATATGATTTTGGCACTAAACAGGCATAACTAAATGCTGAAATTGAATGTGTTAAAAAGAAATAATAGCTAATAATTGGAATTACTGAATTATTGGAATTTAAAAGCCTAAAAAGGGAAAGATAGTGAAAAGAAAGGGTGGAACTTGAACATAACAGAAAGCACCACCTAATGGTAAAGAAAAAAATTCAGTGACTCTTTGAAAAGTGCTTGGTCCTTTTTAAATTGAAACTTGATAATAAAATAAGAGGAACTTGTTATAATAATATAGAAACCCTGAAAACTGGAAAAAAAACCAGAATATTATAAAGATAAAAAAGAAGTGCGAAGAAATTACCCTGGAATTATTTGGTGACTTTGGAAAAAATTGAAAGCGGAATTAATGGAAGGAACCTGGAAATAAAGATTTATGGACATTATTGTTGGAAATAAATAAATATTAAAGACGCTGGTTGAAATAAATTACTGGACAATTGGATCAGACTTAAACATTAAAGAAAGGGAAAAATTAAAATTAAAAGAAGTGAACAAAAATGGCAGAACTTTGTGTGGAAATAAAATTGGAATTAAGAAGCATAAAGGAAATGATGCATGAAAGAATGGATATGTGCAGTATTCTATTACAAAAATTAGAAATGGCGATGCTGAAGAACAAAGAAGAACAAAAAGAATCAGAAGGGAAGGAGTTGAACAAAGAAGAAGCCAGCCTAAACAAAAAATGGAACAACGAGCATTAAAAACAAAGGAAAAAAAGAATAAAAATTAAAGTTTGGAGGTTTGAAGGAATAATTAAAGAGGAATTATTTGGAAAGTCAAACAAAGAAAAAGGAAACAGCAGAAAAGGGAATTACAGAAGAAAGCTCAAGAGAGGGAGGGGGATAAAAACTGGAATAACAAATGGAGGGGAAAAATAAAGGAAAAAAAGGGGGAATAAGAGAAAGGACCAGAAAATAAGGGGATGTAGAAAGCGAATAAAAGGAAATGAAATTATACAGTTAGGAGAACTAGAGATAATGGGTAGATAAAGAATAGGAAAGGGGATTCTGCAAGGTAATGTGTTGTGATATACAAGAATATAGATTTTAAAATTGAAAAGATTGGAACTGATATTTTTATTTGATTTTTTTTAAGGATTACTGTTAAATCATATGTAGACATACCTGGAATAAATGTGAAAATGGGAGATTATGATAAGAATACTAATTATACTTAATAAAATGAAGAATAAAGTTAAAATGAGGATTGTAATAGAAAGATTAATATTAATTATGAGGATTGTAATAGAAAGATTAATATCAGTTTCTATAATTAATTGAATAGATTAATACATTTGAAATAATTGACTTAGAATGTAATTGATGGAAAGAATACTGTGCGAATCTGACTTAATATACAGTATATATGCATATGTGATATGTAGTAGTTAGGAAATTATTGTTATTAACCCAGAATGTGATAATTAAAAAGTGATTATATTGTGGTAAATTTTTACTATGAATTAAAGGGGAGTAAATTGAAGAATGTATAAGACATAAGGGTGGTACACTAGAATTGATAATTAAAGGGGGGTAGTTATTGAAGTATTAGAATTAAGATGAAACTTACTGAATAATGAAATAAAAGTATGTAATAAAATTACAAATGTGACAGATAAAAGTATAATGAATATCAAAACAAAATTAGAATTTTAGGTAATATTAAAAAATAAGACATGAGAATACCTAAAAAAATGAAATAAGATATGAATTGAAAATGGGTAAAATAAGTGTGATGAATATAAGAATATTTGAGAAAATTAACAGGAAAATGGGAAAAGTAATGATATGATATAAAATTGAATATGAAAGATAAATATGTAACTAAGGTCATGTTTGTATTGAAATGTAAAAACCTGGAACCACATTGTTCACCAAAAGAGATGGTTTTGAAATATAAAAATAAAAAAATTATTAAAAAAAAAATAGTGTGTCTAGCTGTAGTGATTCTTTGGCTGAGCAGCTAAATCAATTCTTCAGCCATTTTGAGGTGGAAACAGGAACGACTATCATTCCAGCATCTATCACTGATAGTATACCACTAACATCTACCATTGATAGACAACACTTCTACTGCAGATTTCTGATGTGAGACATGCTTTCCAAAATATTAACACCTGAAAGGCACCTGGGCTAGATGGAATTATGGGATGAGTTGTTAGAGACTGCGCTGCAGAGTTAGCTGGAGTGTTCACAGATATTTTCAATCTATCCCTGTCACAGTGCTCTATCCTTACCTGCCTGAAGACATTCATTATAGTGCCAGTCCCTAAGCAGACAGTAGTGGTATCTCTCAATGATTATAGACCAGTAGCTTTAACATCTGTGTCATTAAATGTTTTGAGAGACTGGTGTTGAACTACATTAAGGCTAGTCTTCCATCTACTTTGGACCCATACCAATTTGCATATAAGAGTAACAGATCAACTAATGATGCTATGTCTATTGTTGTCCATACTGTATTGAATCATTTGGAACAACAGGGAACTTACACAAGGCTGTTATTTGTGGGTTATAGTTCTGTCTTTAACACCATTCTACCCAACAGGTTGTTTCTTAAAATGTCCAATTTGGGTATAAATCAGAAGATTTGTTTGTGGATAAAGGATTTTCTGACAGATAGGCTTCATCAGTAAGGATGGGATCTCACCATTCTTCTACTCTGATACTAAGCACAGGAAACCCCCACCCCAGGATTGTGTGCTAAGCCTCTTCCTTTATTCCTTGTACACACATGACTGCACCCCATTGTATAACACCAACACAATTGTTAAATTTGCGGATGACACACAGTGATGGGACTCATTTATAAGAACAATGAGTCTGCTTACAGAAAGGAAGTACAAGGGCTGACACTGTGGTGTAAAGAAAATAATCTTACACTTAACACCAAAAAAACCTAAAGAACTTATTTCTCCTGAATTGACATCAGGAGGAAGAGAGATGTACATTTACCATTGTACATAAAATAGTGAGGAGAAGGAGAGGCTTGGTAATTTTAAATTTCTGGGCACTTATACCTCGGAGGAACTCTCATGGACTATGAATGCTAACATGCTTGTAAAGAAGGCACAGAAGAGGCTGTACTCTCTGAGAATGCTCAGGAAGATAAATCTATCTCAGCATCTACTTCTGTCCTACTACCACAGCACCATTGAGAGTGTCCTGACATATAGCATTCTTGTATGGTATGGGAGCAGCTCTGTAGCGGACAAAAAAGCTCTATAGAGAATCTTTAAAATTGCCCAGAATATCATTGGGCTCCAGCTACCAGCCCTGGATGACATCCTCGCATCTCACTGTTTGAGGAACATTCTCAGAGACTCTTCCCATCCTGCTTACAATCTTTATGAACTGTTGCCTTCTGGCAGAAGATACAGAACAGTTAAGACTTGGACCATACATTTTCTGAATAGTTTTTATCCCAGAGCTATAATTGCACTTAACAATGAACTTAAGGACCACCATCAGTAAGCTGCTGGACAGTATTACTTGGCCTGTTGTGTGGATGCTTGTGTGTTTTTAGGAGGTGACAATTTTGTTGAGTGGGGAGGTGTTTGGGGATTGTCATATGTGTGCACATGTTGAGTCTGGTCTCTGGATGTTATGTGAATTTCATTGTATGTATACTGTCTATATACGTACAATGACAATAAAGAATTCAATTCAATTCATAAATTTATACATTTAATTGTTTTAAATTCAGTATCAAGTTTACAAATGACTCTGCACCAATGTTAGTTTTAACTTGCTGGAAATATTTCACAATAATAGCAGAATGCAATGCATGTTTTCTCAAAAGTGTATGTTGAATGAGAGTAACTCTTGGCTAAATATACATGGTATAATGGTATACATTTATTTTTCAAATACATCTTGTTTTTAGTTATTTTGTGATAATCCAACTACAACTTTTCTAATATTTTGTTTGTTTCAGATTCTTTCTATAATGAAATAACTATAGACACTAAAATAATCAGTGGGCTTCTTTCTCCTCAAAAGTGTCATCGCGTTACATGATTCTAATTAACAAACTACTATATCCAGGGGTGGGATTCAAAAAACACCCACCCAGCAACCTACCTGGTTGCTGGGTGGGTGTGGCCATGGTGGGTGTGGCCTAGTCGACCTCCTGCACCTCGGTGCAGAGCCTGTTTTCACTCTCCCCTGGCTCTGAAAGCTTTCATTGTGCTTCTGGGAGGGTGAAAACGGCCTCCCCGGGCTCCGGAGGCTCTCTGGAGGCCAGAAATGGACCCGTTTCCAGCCTTCCGGGAGGCCCATTTTTCACCCTCTGTGCAGGCTCTGTACTTATCTGGGATCCAAAATGGACCATGTGGGGTGGGGTGCAATTTGCCGGTTCCCTGAACTGGTCATAAAACAGCCATAAAATTAGCTACTGGTTCACCCAAACCAGGGCGAACCGGTAGCAGCCCACCCCGACTATATTACTTGGCAAAATAACTTTGTGGAGGGTGTTTGTATGTGAGCAGTATTTCAGTATTTCAAAAGGAGGGAGGGAAGGGACAGCAAATCTCAGGAGGTTTTCTCTTTTTTTTCTTGATATCCTTGATATCACTCCAGTAATAAGATAAGACGCTTTATCTGCTGTCATATTTATATTGGATATGAGCCAAAATGCCTGTACTGAACTTGTTATTTTCCTCTTCAAACAAGAATTTATTCTTGTTTATTCTTGGCTTTATGATTATGGCTTATGGGAAAATTAGCAAGTTAAATACAATGTTTGAGAAATCATAGATAGAAGTTTTAGTTTTCTGAATTCCTTAGTAACTTTCACTAATATCAGAAACCAGGTAGAAGTAATTAAACAGAATTTCCATCTACAATATATACTTTCTTACTCCTAATACACCAAACAAGGTCATAGAGCACTGTTTCTCAACCTGAGGAACTCTAAGATGTGTCTTCAACTTCCAGAATTTTCCAGTCAGCATCAAATCTACTTATATGTTTGCTATCCAAAAACACTAGAAATAAATTAATTAAAATAATAACTTCCAGAAACCTCTGGAAGCAAGAAAGTAATACAAAGTTTGTCTAGATTTACTAACATTACTAGCTCTTAGTTTTAAAACACTGACAAAATGCTCCAGAGAAATCATTATTTCATTCCTACAAAGAGGAATTCCATTCCATTTGAAATAGAAAGAGACTTATAACTAATCCATATCAATGTAGCAAATAGCAATGATTCCAAAGCAATAACATATTTCAATATATCATCAAACACAAAATCATCTGGCTAAATACATAAATGACATTTGTATTACGATATTGTAATGCATGTTTCATAATTTAGCCCACTCCTATCTGATTCTATTTCTGCTATAATGATGGAAACAAATGCAAGTTAAAGACCTTGCGGTAGTTTGTTTTTTAATAATAAAAGCCAGTTAGAAATTTTATGAATAAAACTGTGTGTGTGTGTGTGTGTGTGTGTGTGAGTGTGTATTTAATGTATGTAGTTTTTGTCTTCAGAACGATAGGTATATACAATTTGGATTGAGAACATGGACATAGAGATGAAAGTGGATATAGATGTGTTTCTTCCCCTTTACAGTGGCACTAATGGAAGTTATTTTCCAAGTTTAACACAAGCTTTCAATATAAATGTTATCAGAGCCACAGCAAGAAGAATGTTAACCCCTGTCTTCAATAATATGTCTCAATCAGGTTTTCATAGTGTCTCTTAAAACAATAACAACAAAAAACTCCAGCCATTTATATATTAAACCACTTTGCTGTAGTGGTTAAGGCATCAGGCTAAAAACTAGGACAGCGTAAGTGCTAGACTCTCCTTGGACAGCATTGGGCTAGTCACTTTTTCTGAGCTCTATGAAAATGTCAAACCACTTCCAAAAGAAACCAGTCGCCAGGTGACAACAGTGACTTGAAGGATTAAAAAAAAAAGTCAGTGCAGCCAGTGCAACACTATTTATATGGAATCTATCTGAGAGCTATTTAAACCCGGCAACATTTATGAGATTTTGCATTAAATCATGAGATCGTTAACTTACCAATATAGTTTTTTGACACTGCCACTTCTTTGATTTCAATATGAACAGAACCTTTAGGAATTTGAACCACTTCCATGTAGCCTATAAGGTAATCAGGACAATTTTTTCACTGATAAAAGCAACAGTTTACACTTTTAATTTTTTTTAATAACTAACGCAATTAGATAGCAAGAATTCAAAAGATCTTAACATTATTTCTTGTTGCAGTCAAGACAAAGAGACCTATAATTCCATTACAATGATGTAAATATAAGAAACAAAAACAAAACACTTTACATATTGCTTTCATTTGTATGAGGAGTAGTTATTGCATTACAATTTTACAATGCATCAGAGAACAATAGATAATGGACCTGGGAATTATATAAGTAAATGTATCTAGTAAGTACTCTAGAAAGAGTGTACAAGAGTAAAATGGCAGCATCCAGGTGGCTATTACCTGATCTATTTTTAAATAGTTGTCAAATAATAGTAATACAGTTTGTGACAATATCCTAACACCATCAAACAACAATATCTGCCTATTCCAGGTTCTTGAGGAGGATTCATTGTGGGTAAAAATCCCAAATCCAGTTTAAGCATGTGGTTGACTGTACAATCAACAACAGCAACAACAACAATATAACCTTTGAGACTTACCACCTCTGGGCAGTGTATCATTGAAAAAACCTTCAATAGCTTCACATGTACTCCCATCACCACCACATACCCGACACCTGTCTTCTTTAGCGTCAGATCCCAAAATATTGTCACATCCAACATGCTGAAAATAGGTACAGACAGAATAACTATACAATAAGGGAATTTCTTGTCTCTTCAGTTAAGTTGTAAATGTTCAAATTAACAGCATTCTTAATTTATTAAAATCATTGCTGAAGTTCTTCCTTCTTTGTTGAAAGCAATTTTATTCATTCAGCTAGAAGTACCATTCTTTATTTCTCTGCTCTGTTGTCCATATATTCAAATCTAAACAGTTTCTCACAATATTTGGAAGGGCTATTTAATATCACACTAGTATGAATTAGGTAGGCTAGGTAGGTAGAATTGCCTCTTAAATGTCTAGTTGACATGATCACAAAAATAGTTCACAAAAATATTCTTTTTCTAGTCTCTTCTTACACGTTTTTATAACCAGTTAACCTTAGGATTGATAAGACTTTTTGTCATATAATCCCTGAAATACTTTTAACATATTGTTTGCAATTCTCTTTCATCTAAAATGAATTAAAATTAAATTCCTTACAATTAGGCAAATTATCCCTGTTGCATTTTTATAATCTGTCATAATTTTTTTTTTCATTTTCTGGTTCTGCTAGTAGGTGATTTTGCAAGATGCTGCCAGCTAATTGGCTTCTCAAAGCTTTTCCATTTTAAAGGACAAAGATCAAATTCAGGGATTTCCAGTTTCTGAGTTGTCTGAGATGGCTGTTTCCATTTAGAATGTTGTTTGCTTTTCCTCCCAATTGTCTAAATCATGTAAGCAGTTTTATAACACATTTATAGAGAAACTTGAGATAACTCTGGTTGGAAATCTCATTCACTGCAGTCCATATTTAGCAGAGAACATATATGAGTATAAATAAGAGTATTTAGAGATAGATGCTTAAAATATAATGTAACAAGGACATTTATTAAGGAAATTGCATGATCTAATAGAAAGATTGGACCTTTAAGTTTTCTATCTTCATGGCAAAAGAAATGAGAAGGGAAAAACTATTTTCCTGTAAAAAGTAAGCCGAAGGGCAAAGTTCAGGAGTATAAATCAGATTTCTAACAGGGGTGGGATTCAAATTTCTTACCAACCGGTGCTAATTTGTGAGTGTGGCTTGGTAGTCCTATGACTGGCTGGCCATGGCTTGCTGACTGGGCATGGCTTGGTGGTCATGTGATTGGCTGGGCATGGCTTGTATGTAAATATTATAAATATTTATGTAAATATTGATTTTTTTATAAAAAAGAGCAACTTTTATCCAAAATCAGGCAAAGCAGACAGCCAGATTGAGTTGCTCATGGAATCACAGATTCATCCAGAGATCTATCTTTCTGCAATCAGCTCCCTGAGTCTGTCACATAAAATTTGCTTGTAAACAAACTCACAAAATTAACTCAAAACACACCATGTATGCAAATCCAACCATTTCCTGCTTTCTAGCTAATCTAAATCCCCTGGCACAGCAGAACAGCTGATGGCCGAGGGAAAAAAAAGGAAAAATAGCAACTTAGCAGGCAAGTTTGATGGCCGCATGCCAAGTAAGGAGTGAGTGGGCAGGGCGGGTCCAGCCAGTGGTGTGATTTGCCGGTTCTCCAGCAGGTAGAATCCCACCCCTGGTGAGAGTGCGTTTTGCATGTGTGTGTAGACCATTTCCTAAAAACCTCAGCTGTGCTGCCCGGACAGCTGACAAGCCCTGTGCAAGGGTGTGCAGCATTTGAAAATCCTCTTCTTTCCTGCTTTTTCAACCTCAGCTGTGTTGTGCAAACAGTGTCGTGCAGACAGCCAAGAACCCAGGTAGGTGGGTAGGCCAAACAGAGCAGCAGACACCGAATTGGTTCATTGTCTGCTGCTCTTCAGAGCTACCAGTTCTATAGAACGGGGCCAAACCGGTAGCACCCCATCACTGCTTTCTAATCAGGAAAGAATAAAGCAGAGAGAAATAATTAAGAAGCAGTTGCTTCCTTGTTATTTCTTGTCCTATTGGCTCTAAGTTTTCTATAAAACAAATGAAGTAAAATGTCAGTGCTTCTGGAACTGTAGTTCCAATAGATTAATAAAGGAATTTTCTTGACAGCTGTTTCATTAGAGGATGTTGCGGTATAGAAATATTTTAAATTACTTTTATGTAATGTTTGAAATATTTTATTTTACTTGTGTAATGTTTATGTATTTTACCTTGCATTCTCCATTGATACAAATATCCAGGGAATCTGCATTGCACTGTGTTCCATCTATCACTGCAGGAGCACGTTCAGTATAGAAGTTATAACCTTCTGCTAAACAGTTTAATGCACATGGCTTAACCCCACCTAGACAAAAAAACATTTTAAAAGATCAAATTCCAAAGTTTGAAGTATTATATACAATTTAATATTAATCTCTTTTTTTTCAAAAATCCAGTTGATTTTTTTCAACAGTTTTTCAACAGATTAATGAAGCTGTAGGATCAAGACTAATAAACAGATTTCATTAATAGAACAAGACCTAAATATTTAACAAGTTATTAAACAGTACTAAATATTGCCTTTATGGCATGGACTTTTCAGATAGATTACTGAGTTCCAATAACAATACTATGCTTCGTTTGTTTTACAGCTTATCCAGACAATTGTTTTAACATGTTTTCCTCAGTCTGTGTTGTGATACAAAAAAAAATGTACTCTATCTTGACAGCCTCAGTTACAAGGCTGATAAGTGGTATTGGCAGCCCTTGACTTATAGCCAGTCACTGTCTAACTTACGCTGAGCTCTCCAAAAAATTTATTTCACTTGATTTGATATGTAGATGCTGATCTTCCAGAAACTCTAGGCAGCTCCCATTCAAAGATTAAAAGATCCAAGTGAAAATTATCTGCATGCATGATTCAGTCCTATGTGAAGTTCAGCAAGAGTGGCCTTTGCCTCTCCAACGCCAACAAATCTAGCATTGCACAATCAGATATGACAATCTGCAATAGGACAGTTCAGGGTTATGCAGTACTTCAGAAATAATTTGAAAAAGGATCTTCAAAGTACATGGAGGGGATGTTATTAGAACATGACACATGCCTTCAACTCTTTAAAGCAACTTCATCTTTTCTGATATCAAATAACTACCTTCTGAAATTGCTACAGCAGTGACAGCTAACCTTTTCAGCACTGAATGCCCAATGCCCGCATGCGCGCATCCCCAAAATGCAATGCACGCACGTCCCCCGTGCATGTGCCCCACCCCATGCATGTGCGCATCTCCCTGACATGCACCCCATCCCATGCAGGTGCCCCGCCCGCTTGCACATGTGCCCCGTCCCCCACACATGCATGGCAGAGACCTGAAGACTAGCTAGCCAGCAGGAGACACACACACATGCACGATGGAGCTGAGCTGGGGCGACAGCTCACATGCCCACAGAGAGGCTCTGCATGCCACCTCTGGCATACATGCCATAAGTTCGCCATCATGGTGCTATAGGATCCAAGGAAAAGAAACAACTATTTTAAAGTTCTGCTCATGCCCTTCAGCATTCTGAAACAGCTTTCTCATATCAAAGCTAAAAGCCCTTTAAAACCCTGGTACATATATCCATATTCTCAAGGTCCTCTTGGGAGAAATTAATATCCTGCCATCCCTGGGCAGGACCTACAGCCTGATCATAGCTAAGATTACAGAACTTCACATACCTCCTGTATATGGTTTCCAGTTGTAATATTTTCCTCGAAATGGCATATTATCAAAGTCTGCACACTGTTTTTCTCGAAAATCACGGACTCCAAGAGGACATGGCTAAATAAAAACAAAAATGAAAAAATGATGAACTTGAAATTTAAATATATACATGAAGTGCATTTTAATTAAATATAAAACAGTTATCATAGATGCAAAATTAACAGCCTTTTTAAGCAGACTGAATGTCTTGCAAGCTATCACTAACTTATAAAATCAGTGATGTGATCTATTTTTCATTTTAAATAAGGGTATGGTTTCACATAGTCTTTTTTATAAATTAGTCTAAAATATCAATGAATATACTACTTTAAAAATACAGCTGAGTCGTTAAGAACTCAGGATCTCGTTGTAAAAACACATGTAAAATGTTATACCTTTCATCCATTATGCATGTATCCTGCATAAACGAAAGCCATGGTGAATTTAGTGGGTTTACTCAATATAAAATAGTAACAAATAGCATGTTTATTTCATATAAGAAAAGTACTGTATCTAGTAAATATGGACTAATCCATATATGAATATCTATAGAAATTCAGCAAAAGTGTCTACTCTTATGAATAACTTTGTTAATGTGAAATCTGCTGTATCTAAATATATCAAGGAAAAAAACAACATTAAATTTGAGCAGCTTAATACTTCTGATTCTGTGAGTGTGATGACCCGTAGTCTCTCAAAATAACCCCAAATCCAAAACATACATTAAAGTCTGGTAATGCCTTCAATTTAACTTCACTGTTTTATTAGGCACAGTTTAAAGTCACAAAAGTAAATAATGAGGCAAAAGGAAAACCAAAACAAACCGCATTGACGAGAGTTCCGAAGCAAGCCAAGATGATTAATCATACATTCTAGGAAGATAACCAAGGAGAGTCCATGGGAAGAATGCCAGCAAAGATAAACCTCTTTCAAAGAAAACAGTAAACTTTGACTCCAGAAATTCTGGCTACACAGTTACAAACTTATATACATAGCTCCCAGCTGCAAGCCACGAGGAGGATCATGATAATCTCCTCCTGAGTAGACCTCGCTTTTCCCTGATACTCTCCTCCCTGTGTGACCTAGGATGGATAGGGGATGGGCCTGGATCCTCCTCTGATTGCTCAGCTGGCCTCTGCCCTTCCCCAGCCTCCTCCACCACTTCTGGAGCCACACTCCCACTCCCTGTTGGCTGTTCCTCCTCTTCCTCAGAGTCAGTCTCCACCAGGGGCATGACATTATCGCCCCCCCATGGCCCCCTCCCCCAGGAGCAGGCAGACGAGGATGTTGAGGAAACCAAGTGTGAAAGTCCTGGACAAAATGAGGAGCATGAACATCAGTGGCATCGACCCAGGTGAAGTCCTCTGGTCCATAATCTTTCCATGCCACCAATTACTGAAATTGGCCTCGCAACTGGTGTGAATCTCAGATTCTATCCACTTCGTACTCTTCCTCTCCCAGAGGGGCTACTGGGGTCGGCTGTGATGGAGCCGGTCTATGCAGACTGTCGGCCGAGGCAGGGACTAACAGGGAATGATGAAAAATAGGATGGATACGCATGGTCCGTGGCAGGGAGAGATGATAAGCCAAAGGATTGATCACCGCCTCAACCGGAAAGGGTCCCAAGTAACGGTGATCGAGCTTTTTCGATGGTCACGTCGTTGGTAAGTATTCAGTAGAGAGCCAAACCCAATCACCTACCACTAAAGGCAGAACATCACAACGATGTTGGTCTGCAAACCATTTATAGTCCTCCTTGGCTCTCTCTAGTTGATCGTGGACTATGTGGTGCACAGCTTTTAACTCCTGCAAGAACGTATCCACTGCCAGAACTGGGGAATCAGACGGGGCTAAAGAAAAAAGTCATGGATGAAACCCATAGTTAGCAAAGAAAGGGGGCACATGGGTGGATGCATGTTGAGCATTGTTATACGTGAATTCTGCCACCAGCAGCACTTCCACCCAATTGTCTTGTTGAGTATTGCTGAAACACTGGAGGTACTGCTCCAAAATAGCATTCACTCTCTCTGTCCCCCCATCAGTTTTGGGGTGATGAGCAGAAGACAGACACGTCTGAACCTGCAGTTTCACAAGTAGGGTCTGCCAGAAGCAAGCTGTAAATTGTACCCCCAGATCTGATACCATGCAGTCTGGTAACCCATGCAACTGGAAAACATGGGAGATAAACAATTGAGCCGTTATCTTGGCCGATGGAAGACCTGCACATGGAATAAAGTGAGCCATTTTAGTCAACATATCCACCACCACCAAAATGGTTGTGGCACCATTCGATGGTGGTAACTCAGTGATGAAATCCAATGAAACTGCCCCCCACGGTCGTTCTGGTGTGGGCAAAGGCTGCAAGAAACCAGGGGGCACAGCAGGAGCATACTTGGCTTGGCGACAGATCACACAGGACGCCACATATCCCGACACATCATGTTTAAGTCTCGGCCACCAAAATGTCCTAGAGATGAGGTGCAGTGTTTTGAACACCCCAAAGTGTCCCGCCGCCGGACTATCATGACATTGACGTAGGATAAGGCCACAAAGAGGACCTCCAGGCATGTAAATGCGATCACGGAACCGCAGCAGGTCCCCAATATATGCCCAAGGAGTCTTTTGTCTCCTATTCTCGTCCAATTCTTGACATCGAGCTGCCACAAATGGGTCCTAACACTGTGCCTCCTGAATCCTCACTCGGAGGTCCACAGGTTCCTTGGTGGCCACAAACCGTTCCAACGGAATCACCATCCAGGGCAAGATTTTATCCTCCCTTCGGGTATACTCGGGCTTCTGAGATAGGGCATTGGCACGTTGATTCCCTCCACCTGGAACATAGGCCACCCTGAAATCAAATTGAGCAAAGAATAAGGACCATCTCACCTGACGCTGGTTCAATGTCCGAGCTGTACAGAGGTGTTCCAAATTGTGATGATCCGTCCAAACCTTGATTTGGTGATGAGTCCCCTCCAGATGGTGCCGCCATGTCTCAAAAGAGACTTTAACTGCCAATAGCTCCTAGTCCAAATCGTATAGTTGCGCTCTGGAGCCGACAACTTCCGGGGATAATAAGCGCACAGAACAAGGTGCCTGCGGGATCATAGGCCTGGAGGAGTACCACACCAACAGCCACATCGAAAGCATCTGTTTCCACCACAAATGGCTGGCCTGGATCAGGGTGTTTGAGGATAGGCTCGGAAGCAAAGGCGACTTTCAACGCCTCGAAAGTTGCCTGCTCCTCAGCACCCCAATGGAACTTCTCCCCCTTCTTGAGCAAATTAGAAAGGGGAGCAGTCAAGGCAGCAAAGCGGGGAATAAATGTGCGGTAGTAGTTTGCGAACCCCAACAGTCATTGCACATCCTTAACCCACTGTGGAGGTTCCCACATCTGCAATGATTGTATCTTTTCCGGGTCCATTTCCACCCTGGCAGGTGAAATACTAAGAAGTCAATCGTGGTTTGTACAAACTGACACTTCTCACACTTAGCAAACAGGTGGTTATCACGCAAACATTGCAACACCAGCCGCACATGTTGCCAGTGTTCCTGCAGGGAGTCTGAGTAAATTAAAATGTCATCTAAATAAATGACATGAATTGATCCAACAAATCATGGAAAACATCATGCATGAAATGCATGAACACAGCTGGGGCATTGGTTAATCCAAAAGGCATCATGGTATACTCAAAATGCCCGTACCTCGTCCGGAAAGCTGTTTTCCACTCGTCCCCTGCACAAATGCAAACCAGATTGTAGGCCCCATGCAAGACCAACTTCGTAAAGATCTTAGCTTGACGAAGCCGCTCAATCAGTTCAGGGATGAGGGGAAGCGGGTACCGATTCCTCACTGTGATTGCATTCAACTTGTGGTAATCACAACACAAACGTAGCTCCCCCGATTTCTTTTTTACAAAAGCACTGGTGCAGCCAATGGGGAGGTAGAAGGCTGGATAAACCTTTCCAGAGGTTCTTGTCAATATAATCCTGCAACACGGCCAACTCTGGTTCCAACAGGGAATATATCCGACACACCGGCAATTTTGCATTGGGCAACGAGTCGATTGGACAGTCATACGCCTGATGCAGAGGCAACTGGTCCACCTCCTTCTCCCCAAACGCATCAGCAATGTCCACTAACTCCGCAGGTAGATCCAGGTGCATGGGCGTAGCCACACTTCCTGCACAGGAGCGCAAGCAATGGTTGGTGCACTTCCTATCAAGGAACTGCACAGCTCCAGACGACCAGACAATCTGTGGATCATGGGCCTGTAATCACTCCAGACAATCTGTGGATCATGGGACTGTAAAACCCAGCACCACCAGAAAATGAGGCACTGCGGTAACGTAGAACACGGTTTCCTCTACATGCTGCCCAATATGCATGCAAAGGGTTTGGTTGCAGGAACCACAGGTCCCAAACAAAGGGGCCGACCATCAATCGTCTCTACCATTACTGGTGGGGACACTTGTTGCTGAGGAACGAACCACTGCTCTACAAAATGAGCATCCATGAAATTGGCTGTGGCCCCTGAGTTTGTGGCCCCTGAGTCGACCAAGGCTTGGATCTACACTGTTCCCACACCAGGCATGAGCACACTTGCTGTCAGCACAAGATGCTTCACCAATAACAATTGTGGTGGAGATGTCAAAGGTGGCGAGGATGGCAAGGTTGGTTAAGATGGTGGGCCTAAGGACTTTACACCCTGACCTACAGACCCCCATAGGCCAAGCGATGCTCATTTTCTGCCACCGCAGGCGTCGCTGCTGCGGATGTCTTAACAGGACACTTGGCCTCAAAATGGCCTCAATTGCCACAATAGAGGCATAAACCATCACAACGACGTCTATCCTTTTCTAATTGAGTCAGGCGAGGGCAGCCAGCCCCCAACTGCATGGGTTCCTCCAAAGGCACTTCCACCAAGAGTGCCGTCTTGCTGGAAACAGATACAGTCTCTGTCCATCATCGCACCCGTCACTGCTGAAGTCTAGCATCGATACGAAGACACAGATGCATGAGCTCCTGAAGGGTGCGAGGGCATTCAGTGTGTGCCAACTCATCTAGGAGCTCCAATGACAAACCCTCCTGGAAATGGTCTAATAGTGCTGCCTCATTCCACTGTACATCCTGAGCAACCATCCAAAAACTAGCAATATAATCCATGAGTGAGCCACACCCCTGCTTCAACTCTCTCAAATGTCTGTTTGCTGTTTGGCTTCAAACAGGGTCCTCAAACATGGCCTGAAACTGACAGCAAAAATCGGCATAATTGTCCAAAACCTGGTTGGGCTGGGTCAACAGAGGCATCGCCCAACATGCTGCAGAGCCTGACAACAAACTAATCAAAAACCCGACCTTATCCTGGTCAGTGGGAAAGTCCTCAGGCCGAAGGCTCATGTAAAGCTGGCACTGCCCCAAAAATGCTGGAAATTGGGCCAGCGAACCATCAAATTTATCTGGCACTGCCACTGGGCATTTTCGGCATGGTCGGGCAGCTTGCATTTGTGCCACCTGTGCAGTCAAAAGAGCCACTTGCTGGCTTAATTGGGCAATCTCTGCTCTGAGCTGATCCATGGTCACCCCACAAAAAACAAAAATAAGTTGAAGGGGTGGCTGGAGTCAAAATGTGATGACCTGTAGTCTCTCAAAATAACCCCAAATCCAAAACATACATTAAAGTCCGGTAATGCCTTCAACTTAACTTCACTGTTTTATTAGGCACAGTTTAAAGTCACAAAAGTAAATAATGAGGCAAAAAGAAAACCAAAACAAACCGCATTGACGAGAGTTCCGAAGCAAGCTAAGATAATTAATCATACATTCTAGGAAGATAACCAAGGAGAGTCCATGGGAAGAATGCCAGCAAAGATAAACCTCTTTCAAAGAAAACAGTAAACTTTGACTCCAGAAATTCTGGCTACACAGTTACAAACTTGGAGGAGGATCATGGTAATCTCCTCCTGAGTAGACTTCGCTTTTCCCTGATCCTCTCCTCCCTGCGTGACCTAGGATGGATAGGGGATGGGCCTGGATCCTCCTCTGCCTTTCCCCAGCCTCCTCCACCACCTCTGGAGCCACACTCCTACTCCCTGTTCTTCCGCTTCCTCAGAGTCAGTCTCCACCAGGGGCATGACACTTAGTGATCAATATATGTGATAGAGTACTGGTATTATATTGACTTGGCTCCAACAACAAGCTGCTATGCTCTTGTCAGTTGAAGCTTTATCAATTTCCCATCTCAGGGTTATATAGATGACGGCTGTATCCATATGTATTCAGGATTTCCAAGATCTCTCTGGACTACTTGAGGGAGATAGGAAAACTATCATTTGTTTATTTATGGCGTTTTAGCTTAAATTTCTTTTATGTTTCATATAGTTTTGTTGTTGTTGTTAAATTAAACTCTGAGGCAGTCCAAAAGCCGATTGCTAGGAACTGGAACAAAGCACTTTACTACAATTGAATATTTTTCCATCTAATAGATATCAGGTCTTCTGTTTTAATAAATGATTCTGCTTCTCTCAGTTTTAATAACAAATATGTAATCCATCAAAACAGCAAATAAAAAATCTACACAGTAGAATTTATTTACATGAGGCCCCAAAATGAAAAGAGTCAAAGGAGGGAGAAAGAAAATTACTTTGTTTTTGAGGTAAATATGTAACCAATAAGATTCTGTTTATGAATATTTAGAATTTTAGGGAGTAATGCATTTTAAATTACAAAAAGAATAGTGAATGCTGATACATGGCTAATTTATTTCAAGTAAATCATTTCACTTTAGAACACCCAAATATAAGAGTTTGATATAAGATGGGTTGCTATATAAACATTTTAAATAAATAGGCAAATATCTTGGTCTTCAAATGACTTTCACTTCCCCATTGGGAACCAGGGCAATGGTGATGTCATTGACTAATACCCCTCAAGCTAGAAGTGCCTTGGTGGCTACCTCCGGGTCCCATCAGCTGCCAAACATCTATTGTTTCTGATACAGCAGAGGCTTTCTGTAAATCACCATATGCTAAATAAATAACAGAATTCTTACCAATATACAGGTACATTTGATTAGATTTCAAGTTAATTTTGATCTACTCACATCAATGTTACAAGAGCGATATCGTTTCCTTTCTCCAAGGCAATATTTTCCTCCACCAGAAGGTCTGGAAGAAAGTGTTTAAATTTTATGAATATACAAAATATATGTATACATAGCCACACACACACACACACACACACACACATATAATATTTTTCAAGAACTTTAGACTGGACCACTATTAATATAGATGGCAAAAATATTCATAAATGATTTTAAACTTAAAATATTTTATTCAATATTTGTTTCTGGGTTTATCACTATTTTAAAAATGTAGAGATACTTATTTTTCTTCTAATTAGTTAAATTATAAACACCTGAATTCAGCACCAGTAAAAGTCTGTAATATTGACAAAGAAATATAGTTTATAATGTTCCATTTCAACAAGTTGTTTCATTTAGACCTATTTACTTGCTACTTCAGGAAATGTTTAAAATTAATCATTTTTAAAAAAATATTTTCTATTAAACAGCACTGCTATTAAAATAAATAAGAGGTTATGTATATGAGCTAAATGCCTTATACATTGATATTGCAGTCTCTGAAGACCTCAGTTATATATCAAGAAGAAAGATACATTTTATTTAAAAAGATGATTTACAAATACATTCTCTGACTGGGTATCGGTATACTGAATATAACTCCTAACTGTTAGGCTATGGGCATTAGTAAGTGGGTTTGAAAAATTATACAATGGTGCAATGGTATGTAAGAATAAACTTGGGAGACAGGAATAAGAGCCACAATCAGGACAATGGTCAGAAAAGTGGCAGCCTAGCCTGCCGAAGGAATGTTGGTGGGTCAAATGTCTCAGAAGAGACCTGTCCTAGTTTTTTGGACTGTAAAAGTAATGGGGGGTACACTTGCAAGATTCGTTTACTGTAACTTTGTAATAAACTAGAGCAAACTTCTTGGTGTGCTTCTTCTCTAGACTACTTGAAAGTTTTTTTCTTCCCTGCCATCTACACACAAAGTCAATGGAGAAACCAGCAGGAAGTCAGAACTTTCAGTCACATGTGGTCTTCACTTAATGATCCATATGACTCACTTAATGACAGTAACTGGGACTTGCCAAAACTGCTCTTGCTAAACAAGTCATATGATATTGTGGTTTATGACTGAATCACTTAGTGATAGAAATTCTGATCCCTCATTAATCAAGGATTACCTGTATTCAAGAACAATGGCACCCAATGTTTGATATCAGAGACTGGTTTAGGAGGAAAACAATTTTTCTTAATTTTATAATATTTTATTAGATTATAGAATAAAATACAAAAATACAAAAGCAAATAGTAGGACACAGTGTGGAGGAAAGAAAAGTGAGGAGGGGAGGGGGAAAAGAATAAAAAAGTGTTGACTTCTGACTTTAACATCAAACCTCAACTTTTTACTTTTCTATAATAGTATGAACTAGCCATTTCTATAACAATAAATCTATCTAATCAGAAAAATCAAAGTTTCAGCTGACAGAAAGCATGTAAGGCACACAATATTTGTATATTTATTGTCAATATAAATAGCCTATCTATATAAATCCTTTTTAAATTCTCGTTTTCAGCATTTTGTGCTCTGTAACCTCCTGGTCTGAGTTAAATTGCCAACGACTAAGTTTCACATTTTATAATTACCTCACAAGTGTGGTATGGAGAAACATGGGAATTACTGTAATATTTGTATTATATAATTATACATTCTGGGCATAACCAGAATTTCCCAATTATTGCAATTACTGGAATTTAACAACGCAGTTTGCAAAATAGTTTCCCTATTAAAATAAATCTAGAAATGATTATAAAAGATGTGAGTAAAAGAAACATGTTATATGAATTAGCTCAGTAAATAAAGTTATTTCACATAACATTTTGGCTAGTTTTTGAGGAATCACAAAAAAATATGGAAAGAAAACTTTTTAATGAAATGATAAGAATAAAACAGAAGATATAAACATAAAGTTGGTAAATAGCAAAGGTGCTGAACAGAAACAAAAATGCATGAAGATAGCAAGCTTTGCACATAATTATGTAAAATTCAATAAATAATTATCAGCTCAGTCTGGCAATTGGTGCAAGGCAACCTCATGTAGAGGCCAGCTGCAAAGTTCCCATAATTCTTTCCATACTAAGAAAAAGTAGGAAAAGATGTTGGTCTGAAAAGGTTTGTCAAATACTGTATTTATCTTTTTATTCTTTCCAAGTCCACAGAAAGTTTGAAATTAATTAAGTATTCTGCTTTAGGATAATTCTCTAAAAACTGATTAGAAACGGATCAAATTGTATGGCAGGAGAAGCTAGGAGTTGAGGAATCAGCCAGATGCACCAGGGGTCTAATAAGCCTCTTAGATGAGAAGCGAAACATTTTCAAAGAAAAAAAAACAAGAAAGTCCAGTTGCGGTTTAGAAAAATCATCTTTGGGACAATCCAGATTTCTCCAATTCTTTGCAATGGGAGAGGCTGTTGGGTAATGTTGATGTTTAATATTTGAGAGAATCTACATTAAAAGGAATTAATTAACTCTGAGATTTAAAAAATGGAGAAATAAATTATCTGTTAAGTATAACATGTAAAATCTATTTGTACTACATATAATCAAACATCAAACATTTGAAAGTATGTAAAGAGTAATATTTTTCTACGTGTTTGATATGAGTTTTTGTTTTAAAAGTAGATTGATATAGCACAGAAGCATTTTGACATTTTTAATCCACATTTAAAATAATTTCCAAATATGTCTCTTTTGCTGGCGATGGCTTACTTTAGCTACTTACGCTGGACTGTCACAGTGCCTTATGGATGATGAGACTCCTCCCCCACAGGTCCTACTGCATTCTCCCCAAATGGACCAGGGACCCCAATCTCCATCTATGCTCTGAGGCCAAGTGCCAAAAGGGACACATTCTCCCTGATAACACCACTGAAAAGATATCATAAAAAACAAAGAATTAGCTTTTGATTAATAAAATATTCAAGACAATTTAATGTATGTATGTATGTATGTATGTATGTATGTATGTCATTCAGCTTTGTTCGGGTATTTTCCCACATCATTGTAGTTGTGCTTTTAAAGTTGTAGCAACGTTTCGGCAGAATCTCATCTGCCATCAGAA